GCACGACGTCTCGTAAACGCACTTGCGTAGCACTCTCGAGTGACGACGACGGCGAGTATTAACGAGTTCGAATTTACTTCCGGAGCTATCCGAGTTTTTCGCGATATATCGAACGATGTATTCTCTCACGATGACGAAAAAAGGAAAAGGAAAAAGAAAGAGAGGAAAAAGAGAAAGGGAGAAGTGGATGCGCAAATAACGCTTCGCAATAATTTCCATTTGCTCGGTGTACCCAGTGGCGAAGTGGGTAATATCAATCTGCTCGAGAGACAGCGGCTCGATTCGGAATATTCGATGCCGATATGAGAGCGAGTTCAGCTTAATTCGCTTACACTAATGGCGATACGCTCGGTTTAACGGACGGCTCTCGCGCAATGAATGCGATTTCGCCCGATCGGACAATCGCACGGACGGATCTCCAGAACGGATATGACGTTCGGTAGAGCGATCGGCTTAATTAGCTGCCGGGCGAAGCGACGAATCGCATTTGCGGGGTGGGAAAGAGAAAGGGACACGGGAGGCCCGTATCGTCGTGCGCTTCGACGCTTCGCATCCCTGTACGCTCCAATAGGAAGCTTATCTTTTGTGTGCCGGCAAAAGGCTCGCTCGCACGATCGGACGAAAATTACCGACGAGAATGAGCACGCGTCATGAGACTTTGATTCGAGATTTCGCATACGGAAATGTTATCTGCGTTCTGCTATTTCTGCCACAAACTGATAAAGTGAGTATGCGGTAATAATGAAACAATCGCCGCCGACGCGCATCGTTATCTGCGTTATAAATGCGTAGGTAGGCGAAGTTTCGTTCTTTTTTTTTTTTTTGTTTTTTTTCGGAAAGGGAGAAAAAAGGATTATGACTCGCTTTTTACACAGTAGAGCCCCGCTTGTAAAAATATCGTGCTAATGCAAACGAGATATCTCGCGCTTAATATCGGGTTTCGGAATCCGTTCAATTTGAAGCACGGTGCTCGTTTTCAAGCGAGATGTTTGTTAACGTCAGATGCGCAGGTTTCCATGACGTAGACGATCGCGTGGCGTACACATTTTAACACTTCATTTATCAAACGTTATTATTTGTTAGAGGAATTGAAAACGGTATAATTCCAGCGAGAGTTTATTTCTCGATACCACATACCTGCTATCCATTTTTATCGAGAGAAGAAATGCAGGGGTTGAAATTATTCTCGCGCAAAAGCTCTAATTCGCCAATTCCAATATGTAATTAGCGTACGAGACGCCACATACGAGAGACGATAATTTATAATCAATATGTCAACGATCTCGATAATTTTAACTTGCTGATTGATAATTTATATGTTGTTAAATGAAACAACAAGGATATATTTCCTAGACATCATGTAGAAATTATGTTCTTCTCGCAATCATTTGCATACTGAACAAAATTCTCACTAGGAAAGAGCTTATTTCGCAGAATTATTCTGTAGTACATATGTATATATACATATACATATATCGATATAATTTTAACTCGCTGTCTTATTAATAAATTTTCGTATTTTTGAATGAAATGACAAAGATATTTCCTCGACATTATGTATAAATTATTTTTCTTCACAATCATTTGCGTATTAAATAAAATTCTCATCAGAAAACAGGTTATTTGGCAGAATTATTCTGAGATACACATGGACAGTTTGATAAGACAGTTTGATTTTTTAAAAGAAGATTATGTTGAAAAATAGATTGAATTTCGATTTTAGAAAAAAGTTAAAAACGTCATTGACTTATCAAACTGCCCTATATATATATATATATATAT